TACGAATAACAATAAGGATTATCAAGATTGTATAGTGCCAACAGTTGCATCTTAATTGAAATATTTTCTAATATAGATGCCGTGATTATGATGTAGTCATGTGAGTAGATAGTAGAGCACCAAGAGCTCAAAAAAGGTTTCATAAGGTGCGAAAACAATATCAAATGTACTTAATAGAGAGCAAGCTATAAACCCAATCGATCGGTCACAATTATCATAATTGTAAAGGCACAAGATTAGTTATGGCCAGTTTAACAAGGACAAACCAGATGCTTTTTATATCAGCTGTCGCCTTGTTCAGATCTAAGTTAGGTGATACTGAAGTTTCCACATCCACATCAATGTGCAATAATGATGAACTGGGGTTGGATGAAAGGCCAGATTTGGTTGCAATGGAGAGAAAGTCTTCAGAAGCGATATGCTCATCAGTTACAACACTGTCATGTGATGAGCATTTGAGTCCAGTTCTAGTCTGCTTACTTCCAACTTGAGTTGCCATATTTTTGGGGTCCTTAAATGAAGATGAAATCTTTTCAAGAGGTATGTCAGTCATGGATGCCTGTGTCATATTGGAAAGAACTAAGGAAGAATCCGGGGATGCGAGGAATTTAGTTGTTGAGGGCAAAACTGATGCTGAAGTTGTTTCATGATCGTCGATATTCGTTGCTTCTTCAGTTGACGGGAATGATGGCAACTCATCATCTGCACCAAGTGAGTTGATTAACTCTCTAGGCAAATTAGATTCAGAAGTAGAAGCTATTTTGCAAACAAGCGCACTATTTGGAGGTAGGCAGCATGACTCAAGAGAAGAGGTAGAGGGGTGGGGCATGGGTGAAGGAAAAGTCGAGGGATAGTCGATCGTGTTATCGACTTCAATAGTTTGGAGAGCTTCGTTTTCGCGGTTTATGGAATCCGCAGCAAGCTCAGCTAATAATGAGAGACCGACATCTTCATCTGTCATGCCTAAAGTGGATGGAGTGCTGGGAAATTCCTCATCTTCTGGCCGGCTACAACTAGACAGCATTTCTGCATCCGTTGCCTCTGAGTCATCCTCACCCTCGATCTTAACTCTTTCTTCCTTCGGTTCTACCTCCTTGATATCCCGGGAAATTTCATTGACCTGATCACTCAATTTATCGATATCCTCGTAACCCGTTGCTTGAAGGTCGGCTTTAATGAAATACAGAAATTGGACAAAAATAAGATGACTTGCTAAATACCTATTCCAACGTAAAACTTTGTTCGCCTGGTCTAAAAATAGCCTGAGAATTTGGCAAAATAAATCGAAGCACTTGTAAAACACGATACTGCTCAAG